ACCTGGGTTTCCGCCCGCCCTGGGCTCGGCCCCTGGCCGCCCCTCCCCCACGCCAGCCTGGGCCGCCTCCCCTTGGGCCCCGGCACTGCCCCTTTGTGTGCAGGTGGGCGCTTCCAGCAGATTTTAAAACTGCCACAGAGACCATGTTAATAAAATTTCACTGTACGTACAAACTCCCATATGTGAATCTTGTTGACATTTGTTTTTTCTAGTGAGTTGAGTTGTATTAGGATTTCAGAAATGTGATTTTTGCATAACGGTAACCCTTCTAAGTCTTTTACTGATATGAGGTAAGGTGGGAAGAAATATGTTGTCTCCTTCCTGTTCTGGGTGATCCTCTTTCTCTTCTTTGCCAAGCCAACCCTTTGGCAGTGTCTTGCTATTTTCCCCTAGTAGTTTGCAGTCACCTGGTTAATCTGGCTTCCCTTATCCACCCCACCCACCTTCACACTTCCAAACCTGCTGCCAAAAAAGGACGCCATGGTGTTGTCTGAATTGCTTTAGTCAGTCCAGTGTTGCTCGGGTGTACCTCAGGTTTTGCATGGCAGCACCCATGATTTGGGAATGGGAGTTTGGGGAAAGTGGTCTTGGTCCAGCGTGGGCAAAGGACACCGCATATACTTAAATTGTTTTGATTCTGGATATTTTAATGTCCTCATCACTGGATTGGGACTGTCGTTTGTATGCCTGAGTGCATCTTTAGACAATACTGCGGTAGAGTTTTATTGAAACTGAAAAAGCTCCTTTGTTCTTTAAGTTCTCCTTTGGGCCATGGAAGGTGTAGAAATGTGCAGTACCTGACCTGTCTAGCCTCACACCTGCTCTTGTTAAGGGTGAGTTGGTCATTCTAATGCCCAGCCTGAGATGCCACGTTCTCAGTGGGTACTCAGATCCCATTTGGAAGCTTAGGAGTGGTGCTCTTGCCCCCAAACCCACCTGTGCATCTCCTCAGAGAAAGCTGCAGGTCCAGAACTTGCTTGGATTTTGCTATTGCTGTTAAAATTTCATCTTTTCTCACGTTATTTATTGAGCACCACCCCCTAAAGGTACAGGACCAATTTCAGCCTGTTTTGGAGTTGTAGAACAAGCAGTAGCTCTCAAGTTTGCCATCTTACTGGAGACAGTTTGTGAAACGCGAAAGAATAATGCAGAGGAGCAATCTGAGATTAAGTGTCCAAGTGGATGCTGGGGAAGATGCTGTCCGGAGTCAGTGTAAAAAGAAGTCAGTGAAATTTTCTTCCATGGATACTCTTTTGATTAGCTCCTTAGGTTGTTATATATAGGCTGTCCTTCAGTTTGGCCTAGTGTTCCCTTTGGCACGTTCATCTTGATTCCTTGTGTATGTGACACACCATCTGATTGTGTTTTGTTTTTTGAGATAGGGTTTTGCTTTGTAGTTTGAGCTGGGCTTGAACTTAACTATGTAGCCCAGGCTGGCCTTAAACTTGTGATTCTCTTGCCTCAGCCTCTGGAGTGCTAGGATTATAGGCATGCACCACCTCACCTGTCTCCACTGTGTGATTTTGTATAGCCCACCAGATAAGACTTTTTTACATTAAAAAGTAGTTGAAAATAAATTTAAAATTTGTTACATGATGTAAAATTCATATTTCAAAACCAGGCATGGTGGCATATGCCTATAACTCCAACACTCTTGAGAGACCGAGGCAGAAGGATTGCAAGTTCAGACACAGCCTGGGAAATCTAGCAACTCAGGAGAACCAGGTCTCAGAATTAAAAAAAAAAAAAAAAA